CACATAATATTCATCACACAGAGAAAAAAAATGTCAAAACAACCACAAGATACGGTCCCTGCAGTGCTAACCATATGTCAGCTCTGTCTGCGCCGAAACGCATGCATTATCCCTAAATGACGACGTCATTTGTTAAAATGTCAGAGCAATTAATTTAGTTCAACATTTAATTTTAAAACAAAATCTGGGAGGATTTCTGTTGCACTGCAGTGTGAGTGAGTGCCAAACAGGATGGCTCCATTTTTAATTTTTTATTTATTTATTTTTTTACCTTTTTTTTGCTCTTGTTGTTTTACAAACAATAAAGACAATCAAAGTGGAGCATACTAAACACAAATACAAATGAGGCATAAATTACTGGGTGGTTTTGAACTTTTTTCAGTGTTATAAGGACATTACATGTGCGGATCACTACAAGTTATAAAAAACAGAAATACAAAAAACAGCGGTCTTAATTCAAACCTCAGACTGATCCCCTGCCCAAAGGAACCTCAGAAGAGATTTTTCTTTCAACTGAACATTATTTTGTGGAAAATAAGTTTTTCAAATTCTGAAAAGGATTGAGGCTGCACAGTGGCGCAGTTGGTAGAGCTGTTGCTGTGCAGCAAGAAGGTTCTGGGTTTGATTCCCGGCCCCGGTCTTTCTGCATGGAGTTTGCATGTTCTCCCTGTGCATGCGTGGGTTTTCTCCGGGTACTCCGGTTTCCTCCCACAGTCCAAAAAACATGACTGTTAGGTTAATTGGTCTGTCTAAATTGCCCCTAGGTGTGTGTGCGCATGGTTGTGTGTCTGTGTTGCCCTGCGACAGACTGGCGACCTGTCCAGGATGTACCCCGCCTCTCGCCCGGAACGTTAGCTGGAGATAGGAACCAGCACCCCTCCCGACCCCACTGAGGGACAAGGGTGTTCAGAAAATGGATGGATGGATGAAAAGGATTGAATCTTCCAAGTAACCATGAGGAAGAAACTTGGCATAGTGAACATGTTTGAGCACCCCAATTCTCAGAAGATTTATTCAATTTTCCACAAATTCAATGGGATATGATGCCACATGTAAGAAAACTATTACAGAACCACACTAAACAATCCTTTCAGTTCATTTAATGGCAGAATACTGGCATCACACTGCTGTTTCTGCAAGAAGTGAGTGAACTAACTTAAACCGCATCATCAGCGATGCTGTGTGAGAGCTCTCATTAGGGTAAATCACTGAAAGGACAGAAACTGCTGCCTTTATTTGGGAAATTAGTTCAGTTAATGTCACGGAATAAATGTGTGAAACACCCTTTGGTGTTTTCACCTTCACATTAACCCGACCAGTCCTCAATGTGGTGCTCCGAGATCAGCTACGGATCTGAGGCGGCACTCCCACCATCCGTCTCCACCCAGGCAATCTGCCGGCCCCACGGAGGATGCCACAGAGCATTAGCGGCCGTGTGACGGCATGTGGTGGCTCAGAGTGTGAAAGCCCTCCTCAGCGAGCCCCCTCAGGACCACTGATACCCAGAGTCGCTAACAGCTTTTGACTTGCAATTAGCCAGCCAAGTTTATCAGTGGCTGTAGCTGCAGGAGCTGAAGGGCTGCCGGAGCTCTCCTGGAAGGTTTTTTTTTTTTTTTTCGGGCAGTTGGTGGGGACGCGTCAGGCTCATGCTGTCAGCACTCTGTACTATGATTAATCATAGCTGGCTGGGGGTCATAGTGTTGAGTTTTCTGTTTATCTTGTAGCTCTGATCATATATATCAGTAGTTCTTATCGTTTTTGCCACCTCAGAAAATACAGCTTCCAATTCCCACCATAATGAGAGAAATTTTAACAGTAGCTTATGGTTGGGACTTTTTATATAAAAAAAAATAAAAAAACACATATATTTACACATTTGCACTGGATGTTTGGTAAAAGGGGACCCGATGTGCAAAATTCAGATATTGTACATTTTTGTAGTTTCATTTGGGTTTTTTGCTGCTAGAAACTGTCTAATCGATAAAAAAAAAAAACAGCAGTCTTTGTAAAAAACAGTCATTTTTTTAGGGTTTTTTTTTTTTTTGTTGTCTGGTGAGCTGTTTCAAAAACTTTGCTGGAAAAGAAAAGTGTTTTATTGTTGCCTTACCATCCAAGAACCACTTGCTGAATCGTGGTTGTGCAGGAGGCTCCACTTCTGCTTTCCAAAGATGTACAGTTCTCTAATTGTGCATCTGTTTGCAGCTAATTTCACTTCAAGTGTTGGGTTGGTGGAGGTGTGGCCAGCAGCAGTTTATCTGGATTCAAAGTGATAGAGCCTTAAACAGCTCATTCTGAAAGGAGTTCAAACTAGACAGAACTGACCAGACTAAAATCTGATTATCTAAGAATGATTTTGTGCAACTCTAACATCTTATTTCAAATATGTCACATTTTCTTGGAGAATACATGTTTTTTACAAAAAAGAACAAAAAACTGCATACATGCCAAGACAGGAAACTTTGCAGCACTATCTTTGGTAAGCAGTTGGAGCCTCCATGTTAACCTTTGTGAAATTTCATCCCTAAAGCAAAATAGAAATGCAATTTTAAAAGCCCTGAAAAGATCAAGACCCCAACTTTATATGGATTAAGTTTATCAACAGGCTATGAGACAGATTTGATTTTATAAGACCGCCATGATTGGTTAGCTTATAGATATTAAAGTCATATGTACGAAATTTGAAGTTTGTCTTTAAATTCAGTAAATAAATAAAAACTTGCATCAGCTGAACCGAAGAGAGGAACCCTGTCATCTTCCCAAGGCCTTCCACTCCAGCTGCGGTGTCTGCATGTGGGAAATTATATTACCCAGACCTCTTCCCAGTTATGATGAATCCCCAGCCCTGAGAAGACTGGCCAGGCCGACCTCCATTCGCCGCAGATTAGATCCTCTGATTACAATGCCAGCCACCTCCCAGCATCTGATAAATCTTTAGCAGGAACCCAAAAGCAAAGCCCTCCAGTTCCTCTGCAGTTAATAATTTACTGTTGGGGGTAGAAGGGGGGGGAGGGGTATTTATTATAATTCAAATGAAGCTGTGGAGGATTTTCGATTTGATGGGAAATCTGAAAAATGGTTTAGAGTTAAATTTAGAAAAGTCGATATATTGAATTCATGCTCTCTGTGCCTCAAATGATATGCCATTACAGGAATGTGTCGTGAAAGGTGAAATGTGTGAATATGTTTATTTATGAGCAGGTCTAAGCAAAGTTCATCTTAAATGTCAGAAGAGTGACATGTTTGCCTAAGAGCTTCTTGTGGCATATTACGTGTAATTGTTCATAGACGATTACGGCGACACGGTTCTGGTGTCAGGGACTTGGTGTAAACGCCTAATTTGCTCTGCACAAGCTTAACAAACACTGAGGTTACTTGGAAGCACTAATTTGACTGTATAAAGCAGGGGTCCCCAAACTTTTTCCTGCGAGGGCCACATAGCTGTTCCTTTCTGTGGTCTTAGTTTTTGCAGTAAAAAAAAACAAAGAAATTCTTGTCGACGGGGGGTGTGGGGGAGAGACGACGACACTTTTGGATAGATTTTTACCCAGAATGGAAAAAACCGTGAGTGAAACGGTGACTGACGAGTATATATTCCATTGAGGGAAAGTAAGTTTTACATTTGCTCAAAAGCCCCCTGGTGGTTGAAGAAAAATCCACATATAAACCAGAAAATACAACATATGAAAAAAAACACTGAATGCTCTCTGGTATGAGCAGGCGGGCCGGATCCGGCTTTGTTCAGGGGGCAGGACCAAATGACGTGGCGGGCCGGATCCGGCCCGCGGGCCGTAGTTTGGGGACCCCTGGTATAAAGGATGCAAATGCGATTAGAGAGGAACCCGCAGCCTGTAAGCATTTTTGTTTGCAGCAGTTGTTGTCGGCTTTGTTCTGCCGAGCCGAGGAAGCCTCCGGTTTCCTCACTGCAGCCCAACACAGCAGCTGATTTCCACCGATTCATTCCAGATTTTCCCTCAATGTTGGCAGGCTCCTGGAATGTCGTGTTGGTCAGAATATAAAAAGCTTCCAAACTTTTGGACCACAAGTAAAAAATACGATTTTGTTTTTTTTTTTAGTTTTGGGTTTGCAGAGGTCATTCAGAAAATAGACTTTTTCATAGTGCGTAAATCCTGTGAAGTCATCTTTTGTCTAAATATCTGGAAAATGTGCACAGTAATTGTGCTTTAATGATCTACAGTTACATTTAAAATGTAACATCTCATTAATTTTAACAACCCAATAAAGTCAAACTCATGGATCAATTGCACTTAAACTAACATTTTTCAAGAATGAAATTTTGTTTTGATAATTGTGACTTAAGCTAACTTGCCATAGAAGATCAATAAAAACATTTTATGTTCATGTTATGACTAACAACCATGTGGAAGACTTCTGACTTGATAGTAATAGAACAGACTGTCACTTATCAAGTATTTTTAGTTTCTAGAGCAAATGTGTTGGTACACTTAAAGTAAGACTTCCCTCTTGTTGTTAAATGTAGCTTCCCAGTTAAGAAACAACAACCTTTTTGAGTTCTTTCTCACTTTTATTCACTATTCAATAATTATTACACCCATTTAGCATAAATACTGCCTTATATACAGCAAAACCCAAAATCTTACCAAGTATTTTTATCTGGTTTCTATTGCAAATACTGAAGTAAAGTTAAAATAAGGCAAAACTAAATGACATGTTAATGAATAAATGCAATTAAAGTAAACTCTGTTCCTAATCAAGCTACACAATATTGACCAATCCATACAGGAATAGAAAGTAAAAAGAAATCAAATCTTCATACCTCTGGAGTGCATCTGATTACTTTCATGGGAAGCAAATGCATGTTCTGTTTCTGCCCAAACTTATGAAGTGTTCTACTGTGATTTGTAGCAGAAACTCCACGCTGTGCCGTACGTATCATCACAAATCTTTGAGATTCTCCCCCCGGGCCGATGTGACCATTACCATATAGATGGCCTCTGACGGCTGACCGTGATCTCTTCCAGGTCTCCATGAATTGCGACTATGTGTTCGTCAACGGCAAGGAGACGCGGGGCTCCATGAACGCCCGAGTCATCTTCAGCTACGAGCACCTGAGTGCGCCGCTGGAGCTCACCGTCTGGGTGCCCAAGCTCCCCCTACAGGTGGAGCTCACCGACAACGCTCTGAGCTTCATCAAAGGCTGGAGGGTTCCCATTCTGCCTGACAGAAGGTGAGGCTGGGCTACACACATGCGCACACACACGCACTCGCTCACCGGTGAGAGTTCAGTCTCTTCCTTTTTCTCCAAGTTATGTTCCTGGGGTTCAGGGCACAAAACCTACTTTGGTAAAAGTTTAGTTTTCAGAGATGGATCCCCATTCACCCTATTCATGTCTTCTTTGAAAAATGAAAAATTGATAAATGTTAGTAGATGTCAAAACTTTCATACCATTGCATCATGTTGCATCTGGCCCTTTACATTCCTTTTACTTCCCTCTCGTTCTTTCTACTGACATTCTCTCTGTCTTTATCTGGTTGAATCCTAAATGCAGCTCTACTCATTCATATTTGTCAGTTTTATTCTCAATAAGTTTAAGAAAAATATACATTTCTGATTAAAATTCAATATTATAAGCCAATTTCTATCGTCTTATTAGAAGAGTTGAAACTAAAACTGCCCTAAAAAAGAGGGCAGCTCAATTAGGGTCTTTTCACACCAGTAGACTTGGTGTGACTGGGGACCAAAATTGCAACATTTGTTACATTCTCAGTCGCTGTAGTTTTCTTTCACACTGCAGTGTGTCAAAAGATCCAAACTAATTGAAAAACCTGTTCCCCTTCTCGCCTGCTGTGGCATTACTCCATGAACCACTGAAGGAACCGACATGAAAACCTCTGAAGAAGACACTGATTGCAGCTGAAAAAGACATGGAGTGGCATCAGGTTTTTGCAGTTGTAGGATTTCTCTTTAGTCTTTGGTAAAAGACCATGTGCCATTTCTCCTGCTCTCACATTTGTTTTGGTTATGTTTACCCAGAATTCCCTGCACTGTAGTCCACTTCCTTGCTTTTGGAGGGGTCTCCGGTCCACTTGGCATTCACATACGCATTCAAACCGTACCAGAGTTCACTTCATGCATGTCTTATTTCAAGTGCACTAAGATATTTGCACTAGGAAAACACTTGCAGCTTTAACTGCAGAGGTACTGGCACTCATTAGCCAGTACATAGAGTAAATACTGGCTAATGATAAATGTATTCCACATGTTTACAATTTTGTTTTCAATAATTTCTTTTTAAAAACAAGTGCAGCTTTACTTGCGCTTCACATTTATCTTCTACTTTGGGTTTTCTAGCACAAAAATCCATTGAAACTGTTCTTACTCTAAGAAAAGGGTGAAAGAGTTCAATGGGTTTAAGTACTTTAGCAGGGTACTGTATTATAGAGTGATTGTGGCAGTGAGAGTCCAATGAGCATGGACTTTTTTCCAGTCCAGGATAAAGTCGGGAGATAAAAACAGGACCCCTGGAGTCTTAATGCTTGTGGCTGCTCAGCAGGAAATGGCAGAGAAGGTTGAGGCGCCCCAGATAACACCAATATGGAGGAGAAACAATACAAAAAAGGCAGTCTGGACGGCAAAGTGACACCATACTTTGAAAGTTAAAGAATAAAGACTTTGGGCTTATTCAGACAAAAATAAATATTGCACAAAGATGACAGGATGAATGGCATTTAAAATAAAGCTGGAGGTTTGATTGTGAGCGAACTGAGGGAACAGCTCTTATTTCTCAAAGAAAAAACAGAAAAATAAAAGAACTTTCTGGATTTTGCCTCAAAATTTGAAGCAAAAGCATATTGACACCTGCAATCCGTGCTGTCCATCAGTCTCAATATTCTAACTTTCAAGCAATAGCTGCCAGCTGCCGTTGTCTGCAGAGCTTGTGCTGTTTATAATCTTTCTGAGAGGCTCATTTATTCTCTTTTTGCAGTGTCAGGGTTTCTGATGGCTACAAAGTGCTGCACGTACAAGTCTGTAACAAGATCAGCCAATCGATGTGGCAGTGAGTGATTATGAGTGGCGCTTAATTTGTGGCAAAAGCCCGAGCACGTAAAGACTTTGTGTGCACAAATGCAGCCTATTGACCACGCGGACAATGGCCTATATCTCCTTCCCTGTGACTTTGTCGTTTTTCCTATAAGTATCTGCAATATGAACAGTAGCTTTAGAAGGAGTGCTGCACTGAAGCAACAGTCTGTTTCAGTACTTTTATTTTCCAGCCGCCTTTGAGTGAGAGGTACTTGGTACATCGCTAACAGCTGGTCTGTTGTTAGGCCAACTCTCAGCCAACAGTAGTTCAGTAGGAAGTTAACATAACATTCAGGTTTCTGACTGTTTAAAGTTAGAAGCACCCACAGATGTGAAACCCTCAACTGCAAACTCGACCACTGTAGAAGCTGTGCTTTCACTTAACCAGTGTATTAACATGCATTAAAACAGCCACTCTATTGATCCTTTGTAGCTACGTCTAATACCTTTGAGACACCATGATGGACGTCAAAAATGAGGGATTGGATTTTTGAACGGAGTGACTGCGATTGTTTGCCCAAGTGTTTTTTGTCAGTATAGTCATGGTAAAAGTTCAACCTGTCAAGCTTCCCACTTTTTGGTGACATGGACGATTCTATAGTTTTGAAACATAGAAATTTGGTCCCATTTTAGCAAAAACTAAAACTCACTAATTGTGACCCAAGGAAGAGCAAATATCTGGATATTTATTTAGTAACTGCAGAAAGTACCTGGATATTAATTGTGCTACATAGGCAGGTTTGCTAAATTCTTCCTGCTTGTTTTCATGAGGAATTATGCAAGAAGTATATTATCCATGAAATGAGTTCTGAGTTTTAAATATAGTAACAAGTTGAGTTTTCAAAACCTCTCACAACTGACTCAGTCAAGAAATGCAAAACCATATCAGAATGTGCTTCCAGTTAAACGACACATCTCGCTAAGCTACAGCTCTTCTAGCTTAGGTGCCACATTAGTTCAGCTCTTACCTGTTGGATATTTTCCCCAAATGAATTTCAGTGTATAAACATCACTCAATTCACCTTTAAATATAGTAACAAGTTGGTACCTGCTGCATCAGGCAACTGAAAAACAAAACACGGCACGCAACATGAAAGGACATGTCCAACACTGACGACAGAATATCACTGAAAACATGGAGGTTCCTGTGGGAAGGCCATTCTAGTCAACATCAACGGTTTCATAGTCTGAATGTGGCATCATCAAAAGTGACAGGCAGGCTTTGTGTGCAGTTTCTTTATGTGGCAGAGAAACCCACAGAAAAGTAAAGGGTACATGCTGGTAGTAAAATCAAATGACAGCATGCAGGAGAGAAAAGCTTCACCTGTGGTGAGAGGAAATCCCGTGGCTTAGCTGTGTGGCAATCAAAGCAGCCAAAAAAAATGCTTCACTAAAGGCTCCTGATTACTGCTGTCATGAAGGCAGTGAGGAAGTTGGTATGCACAAAAAATGACTTGGGAAAAACAGGCCTGGACTGCAGCTGCATCTTTATCAAAAACTTTCATGATGTGAAGGATATTGAGGCCAGATTATTCACAATTAGGTTTAAAGTAATGTTTTATTTTGAGCAACATAATATCAGACTTAGTCTGATGTAAATGATATAGTGGACAACCACTGCACACAGTTTACTGTGACTCTGGTGTAATCTTTTTATGGTGGGTGAAAAATCTAAGTGATGGTTAAAATTTGCTGGAGATGTTAGCATACTAAAATTAGGATTAGCATGCTTTGTTGACTCAGGCCACTGTCGTTTTTGTCAGTTTTTGGTTATATAGAGTATTACTTCTGTAAACTATGTTTGCTATTTTAGAGGGCATTTTTTACTGAACTTTGCATCCCGGGTGGAACATTTTACCTACAGTTAAAATGCAATAAATTTAACTGGATGTCTGGGGTGTTATTAGCATGCTTGTTTTTTTTGTTTTTGTTTGTTTGTTTGTTTGTTTTTTATCTATTTTAAATATAGTATACAACCAATGTGAAAATTTATATATTTTTAGTGATCAGTGAATTAAAAATGCTTTGTTTTTGAAAAATAACACATTGGAGATTAATACAGGAGTGTAATCTTATCTGAAAGACTCATAAAAGTCTTTGTCTGGACTCAGTTTTATTAACAAATGTCAAAATATCTTTAATTACTACACATTAATTCCCTCTGGATATTTTTTTTTTTTTTAATATTGTTGCTCTGCAATATGTTTCCCAAGCAGCCAGGCTCATTTACAATTCCTTCATTTCTCTGACTGCGCCGTAAACATGCTATTTGTATTCAGGGTTGGGTAGAAATGAAATTGGTCTGTTGACGTTCGCTGGCAGTGGCGATGGTAGCCATCCATGTTAGTTCTAATGCCCATATTAAACATTTTGTTCTGGAATTGTTTTTGGCTTCTCTGTTTGAAATATTTTAATAAATCAAAGAACCGTAATGTAGGACTGCATTCTTTATTAGGAACCTGACTTATAGTTTTCTACTCCTCCTCAGCCCATTTTCTCACATCTCAGGAAAGTGCAACACACATTCATCCTGAACAGCTTTCTGCGTTCTTTACACATTTTTAAATCAGGTCTGCATCTTGGCCGTGTTGTTGGAAATAGGTTAAGATGAGTATGACACACACAGCCGCCTCGCAGCACCGTTTGCACTTGAGAGCATCATTTTGTGAGAGGAAGCGTTGCTGCTTTCCACCTGAGGCAAAGCATCTAATTGGACCAAAACAAGCAACTACCCGTAAAATCCCGGATAACAGATCGGAGGCTGGAAGACGTCGGAGCTCCGTGCACTTTGGATAACAAGCGTGTGGTAATCATGTGCAAAAACAAAATATCTCAAATAGCTTCTGTACAGCAATGAAATCTTCCTGATTCTTGTTTTGCCGCAGGGTTCAGATAAGAAAAGAAAAAATTGTCCATCATTTCCAAGGAAAACTACCATGACACGTTATTCAGTTTGTTTTAATCATGAGTTTTGCAGCACTGATTGTTGAAACAGTTTGTATTCAAAAATTGTCCACGATTTTTAAAGAGAAATATCACAACATGTATAAGCCATACACATCTTGTCAATCTTGTCTTTTAACTTTTGTTTTTACTACTTCTAGCACAGCTACTAAACAAGATTATAATAGTTAACTAAAGCTAAAGAAGTAACAAAAACTGAACTTGAGAAAACATTTTCCTTAACTGAAATAAACAAAAATAGTAATTAATAGGAAAATTATAACTGGAGTTATACCGTGCATTTATAAAACTAGCTTTATAAATATATTCATTAGCCTTTCAAACTGATATGAATTCTGCACCTAAAAATTTATCAAAGTATGACAAAACTAAAATTACTTCTATAACTGATAAAAACTAAACATTTAATTTATAATAGTTAAAAACTAGAAAACACATTCTAAACTGGATTACACAAAGAAAAAGTCACAAAATAAATATGAACTATAATAAAAAATAAAATAAAACTATTATAACCCTGCTACTAAACTAGCAATAATAGAAAGTAAAATAGTTGCTTTTCATGTTTTAGTGTCTGAAAACAGAGGTTTGAAACAACTATCAGCGTGATTAGCAAACTTTGACTATACCATAGAGGCCAAGTAACCCCAGCATCTAAATCAAGTTTGCTGTTTGGTACACTTTGGTCTTATTTATTTACAGTCATTATGATTTGCTATGATAAATTAGATGTGTACAAAAGCTTCAGAGGTAATTGTAAATAATTATAAGCTATAAGATAGAATAAAGATATCCAAGATAATTTATTGGACTGTTTACTGACCCTAACTAACTTCTGTAGCTCATCATCACAATGACAGTCTGCAATAAAGAGAGTTATTGTCTTTTTATTCACGTCAATCTGGCTCCCATTTACTCATCCCGTCTGCTGTTTTCTTCAACATGAGTCACTCTGACCCCTTCGGACGGCCCAGGGTCTCCCGGCCTGGAGTGGGCCTTTGCTTCGGCACAGCAGAATTGCTCACTGGCTGAGTTATCCAGCAAGATGCTCTAAAAAAGGAAAGGAAGTGTAATCGAATGAGCAACCCATGTGCACTGAAGCTGCAGCTTTGTGTTCTTGTATCAGAGATTCTAACAAGACCAGACAATATGTTTCCAGAGGAGGAAAGAAATCACCTTTTCAGGTGCACAGTCTGGAAGGCAAACTCTCAGTGACCTGAGTCAAGTTGGTAAACTCTTAGACTAACTCTTATTTAGGATTTTTCTGCTGTACACTGCCTTGTTTTTCCATCCCTTGAACCTTTTTTTTTTCCATTTTGCCACCTTAGAGCTGCACATTGCAATGGGTTATATGTTGATTTATTGTGATAGGCAAACACAGTATACCACATAATTGTAAAGTGGAAAGAAATTGTTCAAATATTAAGCAAATAAACCCAAATGTGCAGCAGGCATATGCACTCAGACCCTCTGAGACGAGCTTCAGTGACCTTCATCGCCTTTTTCCTTTTACCATCGCAATCACATAGAAACTGTGATTATGTACTTCACAAAACCCAACCTCATATAAACAGTAACATATTTTTATAGAAAACTATCCTAATCTTTTACACATTTATATTCCTCTCAGATGGAACAGCGTAACTCATGAGTGAACTCCGTCTAAAATTGATCAAATTACTTTCAAATCTACTTGAAGTCATTCCAAAACAGTTTCATACCCTGGTAGGCGTGCAGCATGTTGGAGGACGGTCCAAAGTTCAGAATAAAAAGTTCTGTTGTACCTTGCACAATTATTTTCAGGCCATGATTGCACAACATTTTTATTTAAAATATGAATTACATCTAGATTTGTATTATTGATTTAAAATGAAAGACCTAAAGTGCAATCTATGAACTATTTTAATGCAATGTAATTTTTTTGTGTAATTGTTGGAGTCTGGCAACCTGATGTGGACCTTGTAGATTGCTGAAAACTTCCAAAACAGTCAACATTCCCTCTTTTGACTTAGGTCAAGGTAAAGCTGACTGACAAACAGGGGGACACAATTTGTAAGAAGTTATCATTACATTTCAAGAAAGAGTATAAAGATTTTGAAATCGAGATTTTTCTAAAACTACAGAATCTCATTAATATATGAAACTGACAGCAGTGGCCACACATCTGCTAGTGGAACCAATTTTTATTTAGCTCTTCAGCACTTTTGCTAACTTTGAACATGCTTATTGTACTTACCTTCCCCTTAATGAATGTTTCCACTACTTTACTTGGCTTTTTTTGTAAACCTACAGTTGAATTAAGTTCAACACCTGTGTTGAAGTTTTGGTTTTCGAATGTTAATAAATCTTTAAGTAGTTACACATTCATATTCATGCTCAAATTTTGAAAATGGTAAAGAATGTTTAAGCAACGAAGTTTTTTCCACCAAAACTTTATTTCAAACAAGAAACATACAGGCACAAAATAAAACCTGGACAATAGAGGATAAGATATGAATATAAATACAAAATCTAAGGGAATTGTTGAACATGTAAATTATAATGTCAAAATTAAGTTGGTGCCCAAAGGTTGTTTTCTTTCAAGGGCAGATATAATTTGAATTGAAGTTAGCATTTACCATTAGCTTCCACTAAATACTGTAGTGTCTTAGCATAGCTAATGTTTATGATTAATCCTTTAGGGTCAGAGCAGCTAACTGTTTAGTTAGTGGTGTCCACCAATGGGCACTGGCCAATGTGTAGCTGTGTTCTAGGTCATTTTTTTCAGTGCTAATTTATTACATAAAATGTCAGTTTTTTTGGGGGGAAAAAATGTAATAAAAACGTTAGTATTTGGACAAATATCTTCTTTTAAGCTATTTTTAAGTATGGATCTCCCTCTCATCCAGACTGTATTGGTGTACCTCAAGGCTCTGTTTTTGGTCTCTGCTAGTTTTAATGTATGCATTGCCCTGTTGGCATATTATAGATAGATATCATTGTGATGCAGATGACATTCAGTACCTAGATAATGTTGAAGAGTAAATGACAGACAGTTTTGTTCTATAGATAATTATCTATATCTATAATTATCTATAACTAAGGAGACAACTTGGGCCTCTTTGTTCTTCTGGCATAATTTTTGATTCTGGTTTTACTTCGGACGTACATACCAAATCTGTTTGATCCTGTTGTAATAATCTGAGAAATATTACCATACTAATCTCTATTGTCTCATGTCCTGAACTGGAAAAAAGTATTCATGCTCTTGTGAAGGACTTTATGACTATAAGGTACTCTATAAGTAACATTCTATATAAATACTTAACTTTCTGAAATTTATGGATATGGATTTATTTAAGATATTGTGCTCTAATATTTCAAAATGGTTTTGAACAGCAGTTTTCCAGGCTTCTGGCAGTTTGACAGAAAAAAATATTTTAAATATATATTTTAGGGATTTTCGACTCTTTCAAAACGGTTACTTTTCATCTTTTGACAACTTGCCTGTATGGATTTGACAAAACCCTGGGGTAATAAATAAATGGATTGACAAAGTGTGACGAGGCAACCTATTTAGAGTCTTTGGAGTCGTTTTGTTTTCAGTGCAGTCTTTTGAAAGCAGCACTTTTTAAGACAGACCTGGCAGATTGTGCAGCCTGTTGAGGGATGTTGGGTAATTCATACGTTTTGATGTCGAGCAGATTTCACTTAGTGCGGGATGCACCTGGCATGCCTGACCTCGCTGCCCAAGGCTCCAGTGATTAAAAACGGGCATCCATCCAGAACCCTGCTTTGAGGTGATTAGCGGGTTTTTTTCTGCTGCCTTGGAGGACTTTGCCCTCATCGCCATGAGAACGGAGAGATTGATTGATTTGTTCGGAGAGGTGCCAAGATTCTTCCCAGTATTATGATGTGAAATTATACTGTTATTGGAGGCCCTGAAGAACAGAAGGATCATGTCGCAAAGTAGACGTGGTGCTCGGGATAAGTCAGTGAGATTCTACTGGTTTTAAATAAGAGATGATGGAAATTAAAATTTTCTTCATAAATTTCTGACAAGTTCTGACATATTTCTTAGACCTTTAAAATCGTCCAATTCTAACAAGATTTCATGAGTACTCACCAGAAGTTGTACTCTTTAAAGGTGACCTACTGTGTTTCCTTGATCAGGTTACGTCTGTGGATGATGCAAAACATGTTCATTAAATGTTTACCACAAAATAAATTTTAGGTAATGAAATTTTAGTCTGCTCAGTTCTGCCTTGTACTGAGCTTCTTTCAGAATGTGCTGTTTTAGGGCCTCTTGTCACTTTCTATTTGCTTATATTTAGCACTTTAAATGGAGTAGCTTCTTAACAAATAAGCAATTTGTAATTGGGGATCAATAAAGTATATTCTGTTCTAAAATAGTGCTGGACCTCAGCTTGGGTTGCTAGGTAACAGGCTAGGCTTTGCGGAGCAATGTGTAAAGTTTCATCCTGAAGGCTTTTGAAACGAATCAATGTTTTTTTAAGCACTTGGGCTGTTTATAGAACATTAAAGACACACATTTTGCGTAACAGGTATCCTCTGATACATATTTGGGTGTTTTTCTTCTCTCTGTCCAAGGAGCACTAGGGACAGCGAAGCAGATGATGATGACGACGACCGGCGAACGAATCGCGGCTGCGCTCTCCAGTACCAGCGGGCCGTGGTCAAAGTGCTGACCCAGTTCCACACCACTTCTACGGAGGGAACGGATCAAGTCATCACAATGCTGGGGCCAGACTGGCAGGTGGACGTCACAGACCTCGTCCAGGACTCCCTGAAGGTGGTCGACCCAAAGATCGCAGAGCTGGTGGACAGGACGATTCTTGTGGGCCTGGAACTGGGCTCCACTGTGCTGAAGGTGAACCAACTCATACATTAGTGACGAATGCAGCTTTATTGTTAACTAAAACCAATTAAACCTGCAGTATTTATAAAATATATTCCTTTACGAGCTCTTCTGCCTGCTCTCAGTGCTAACTTTAAACAATGAATGAGAGTTAGAAGGCGGGTCTTAGTGCTGTCAATCACCCTCTGTGTGGCGCTGCTTATCTAATTCACAAACTATCACCTTAACCTATTCAATTGAGGGTGGCTGAGGTTTAGATTTTCTTCTTCTGCGATCTTGTCGATGCGTCCTTAATGTGATCCTGGAGTAATTTTGGTAGGCTGGCCTCTTCTGGGAATGTTCATTATTATTTCATGTTTTCTCCATTTGTGAATAATTTCTCTCTGTGGTTTGCTGGATTCCAAAAGCCTTAGAAATGGCTTTGTAGCCCCTTTTCAGACTAATAACTGTCAATTACTGGATATTTATTGGTTCTTGAGGTGGTGTGTTGCTTTTGTTCTGAATTTCTTTTTGGGTTTTTTTTGGGGGGGGGTTATGTTTTTGCCTACTTCATGATTTGAGATACGCTTTATTTAAGTGATTTCTTGGTTGTACACGACTGATAGTCATCAGGTCAGTGTGTGGATACTGAAAATGAACATGTGGCAGGTAAATTACGACTGAACATGGAGGATAACTATATTTTCACACCAAGCTAGTTTGGATATTTTTTAATTTAAATTTAAATTTAAATTTAAATGATATTATCATTTGAAATTTGCTTTTTTGCACTTACCGTTTGATTTTTATAAAATGTTTTTTTTTTAATAATCTGAAACATTGAACTAATCATCTTGTAGAGAGGCAGTGCTTTTGCACAACACTGCAGGCTCTGGTGGCTTTGAAGGGAAACCTCACAGCACTTTTCTGCATAATGAGGATAAAGTAAAATTAATGCATGCACCTTGATGTGATGCAAGGAAAAGGAAGTGGAAATCTTTAAATGCTTTTTAAGAAAGTCCCCAGTGAAAAGGGCTGCATTAGATAGATGGAAAACAAAACACTTAAAGACTCTGTCCTCTAAGTCCCCCTTAATGACATAAGTGATATCACTTAATGCTAGTTGAGCATCTATGTCTTTGAACATGAATGAAAACTGGAGATCCTTTGAATATTCTAGCCTTACATAATTTAAGTTTGATTATTATTAAAGGGGGCATATTATGCAAAATTCACATTTTGCATATTTTTTTTTCTTCCATTTGGGTCTCTACTGCTTCTAAACAGAGACTAAGCACTTAAAGAAAACATGAGTTAATGTTTTTTTAATGTCTGGAAAACAAGACTGGGGGTTTGTTGTTGACTTGTCATCCAGAAGCCACTTGCTGCACTTTTGTTAGTTGTGTTGGAGGCTCCACTGCTGCTTTTCAAAGATGTATGGTTATACAATTGCACATCTGTTTGCAGCCATTTTCAACAACTTACTAGGACTTAAAGTGACAAGAAGCCCTAAATTGGTTCATTCTGAAAGGAGTTCATCATAGACAGAACTGACCAGATTAAAATCTCATTGTCCAAGAATGATTTTGTGCAAAATAATCAATACATAATAAACATATTTTGTGTAACCCATAGACCTATCCTATATAAAATTTAAGGGTTTGTTAACCTCATACTTGGAGCAAAAATAAATTCCAGCTTAGTTTGTGGTTCTGGTTATCATCTTAATATTGAAAAACCTGCATAGTTAGTGATATTTTAGGACAAAGTGGCATAACAATAGATCAAACTGAACAACATTAGCAAACCGTGAGAGCTGTTTTGAAAAACAGCAACATTTTAGTCAAACTGCACAAAGCAAGAGCTCCTTAAATGTTTGTGATAATCCCTCATTATTGAGAGAGTCTCACACACAAACTACATCAACTGCTGAAGACAGGCGATAAGCTGTGATGGATGGTTGCAACACATACTTTGGGAGGTAATTATAGTATTCATCTTTGTTTTCTCTGCTTTCCTTAGAACCGTTGTTTGATTGCTTGTTTTCTTGTCTTGTTGTGCCATCCTCCCTAATCTCAGCAACTAATTTGGTGACATCGGTGTTGAAACTAAAGCTAGTTATAATAGTATCAAGAAGAAAAAATACATTTTCATAATTTTCTGTTCTTTCTCCACATCTAATCTGTTTATATTATGAAACCGAAGCCCGGCCCCTGTAAGCACGCTCTGCTGCTCCCCTGCATGTTAATGCTCCAGGTTCAGAGGTCCCTATGAAGGAAGCAGCAGAAGTTATTAAGCCAAGGCTGTGATTTACAGGTGCTTCAGCGGCCATTTATGGGGACAGAGATAGGTAGCGGTTGGTGAGAGTTTTGATCACCCTGAAAGATCACGGTTTTAGCCTGTCGAGGCAGAGAATTGTTGCCGGATGGATGCATTCCATCAAAGCAAAATAGGGAGAAAAGATGTGCCACTAATCCATCACTTTAAATGAGCAATAGCTTGTTTATACGATGTTGAAGGGTATATAAATAATTACGCATCAGTTGAACAGCTGATGGTAAAACCTGCCTTGCCGACTCAATTTTGACCCAATAAATCGTCCAAATAAGATGTCAAGAAATCATTGCCTGCTCCAAATATCTTTGAAGGATTTTCAGCTCACAAATTTTCTGCTATTTTGTTTATCCAGTCAGGTTTCACTTAATCATTTTTTTTTGTCTTAGCCCAAAAAAATGAAAGTCTTCAAAGACTTTTAAAGGCTTTTAAAAACTCTTTAAAAGTAAGACTTTTAAAGATGTCTTGCTGTCCTGATGTTCCCTCTCTCTGAGCATTGGTTTATGAGAAATTAAACCAGGAAAGGTTTGTTCTTAAGTGTGGACATTAACACTAAAAGTAGGGCTGACATAAATGTTGAGAATTTAAAATCTACAGTGGCCCCCTGCCTATTTGTGCCTCAGTATTTTTTGTGGATAGTAAGTCCAAATTAATTGTAGAAAATTTGCCTCTTGACCTATTGTTTTCTGCAGCGCATATATAAAATATTGTAAAGAAAATTTGGCTTGGGAATCTCAAATACCCAGACGCATTGCTGCTTGACTCACTTTTGGCTAGCAATTGGAAAGCAGCCAATCCACAAGTGCCATTTATTTTCCTTTCTGCTGATTGGCTGTGCCCCTAAGAGTGGAGATATGGAAAATTGTAGTTCTTAGGTTTTGTTATAGTGCTAAGACATCATATTGGGGTTTAAACTATTAAAATTATAAGCTGTAAGGTTCTCACATATTACTGGATGATTAACTATTTGTAGACAGCTGTGGTTTGCTGAGGGTCCACTGTTTACACAGCCAATTTAATTTGAACTGATGAGGTGGAGCTCAGGCTAAGATAAAGATTAATAGTTGTATGATCATAAAGTTCTGCCTAAATGAAAGAAAAAAAAACTGATGATGAGATAAACTTGGACTTTTTGCATTTATATTATAAATTAATAAGTCAGCCTGCTAATATTAGCAACAAAGTTACAATGGAGCTCAGATAGTGATAAATATTAATAGTTATATGATGCAGAGTGAAAGTAAAACCTGATGACACGGCATTCATTTTTGGTCAACACAGGAGGCAAATATGAGTTTATACTTTTATTGCTTATATAAAAGTAAGCAATACTTTTATGCTTGCTTTTATGTAAGCATAAAGTAAACAAAGTAACATTAATTTAATCAATAAATATAAATAAACTTTGTATGCGACATACATTTTACTGTCAGTAACCCAACACCAGATGTTTATCTCCCAAAGAAACACATTTGAAAGAAGAACCTACAAACACTTAAGATCCTTCAAGAATAATACACCAAATAAAATTAAGGACAGTGTCACGGTTGGATGTCTGTCCACGTTAATTCAGACATAAGTCAGAGTTCCCAGCAGGACGATAATCCATTATAGCTAAATAAAACGATCAGTGGCCACTCTCACAAAATTAAGAATCCAGCTGCTCTAAACTTCTCCTTTCATTCCTGTTTTTTATTTCCTGACTGGCAGGCCACCGAAAGATGTCTTGCCACTTAAATGCATTAGAAAATGTATTTTATTAAAGGTTTATGTATATGTGAACTGTAAAGCATTTTTTTCTCTAAACAAAAGTGAAAAAATCTAAAGAATAGTCTTGTATTCATTTGAGGATCAAACGTGGGTTCTGAGCTGTCTGAGAAGTTTTGATATGAAGTTGTGAAGCATGTCAGACACCTGAAATCAATTAATTTCAAATGGCAAATCAGATGAAGAAAAAAGTGGCAGAATCTTTGCATCATTTCACATATATGAAAAAGTTTAAATCAATCAATCAAATTTTATTTGTGTAGCACATTTCAGCAGCAAGGCATTTCAAAGTGCTTTATATAATTAAAATAAAAACAGCATGTGACATTGAATAAACAGTGAGAAAGAGAAAAAGATTTTGAAAAAAAAAGATTAAAAAAAGATAAAAA